GGTCATGGTCACCTCCGACCTGTCCTGCATGATCGCGGGCGCCAAGAGCGAGCTCGAGATCCTCAAGACCAAGACGGCCTGAGCCTGAGGGGGAACGGGACATGGGCAAGCGCGTAGCGGGCAAGATCGCCGTCGTGGTCGGCGCCGGACAGACGCCGGGAGAGACGATCGGCAACGGCGCCGCCATATCCCTCCTGCTGGCGCGGGAGGGCGCGAGCGTGCTCTGCGTCGATCGCCTCGGCGAGCGCGCCGAGAAGACGGTGCAGGAAGTCGGAGCCGACGAACTCGTGCGCGGGGCCGGCGTCACTCCGGTCCTGTCGTCGATGGCGGCCGACATCACGAAAGCGGCCGACTGCGCGCGCATCATCGACGAGGCGCGCTCGCGGTACGGCCGGATCGACATCCTGATCAACAATGTCGGCATCGGCGGCGGCGGCGATGCGCCGGCGCACCGGCTCGAGGAGAAGGTGCTCGACCGCATCCTCGCGGTGAACCTGAAGGGCATGTGGCTCACCACCAAGGCCGCCCTTCCCCTGATGCGCGAGCAGGAAGGCGGCGCCATCGTCAACATCTCCTCGCTGGCCGCGACCAGCGGCGCGACGCAGCTCGCCTACGAGATTTCCAAGGCTGCGGTGAACCGGCTCACGACCCATGTCGCACAGTCCAACGCGCGCTACGGCATCCGCGCCAACGCCATCATGATGGGCTTCATGGACACGCCCATGGCCGTCACCGGCATCGCCCAGGCGACCGGCCGCACCACCGACGCCGTACGCGCCGAGCGCAACGCCATGGTGCCGCTGCGGCGCAAGATGGGCACCGCCTTCGACACCGCCTATGCGGCGCTGTTCCTCGCCTCGGACGAGGCGCAGTTCGTGACCGGTGAAATCCTGCGGGTCGATGGCGGCATGGGGCTGGGGACAGTCTAGCGGCCGGTGGTCGTCACCGGTCCTTCGCGCTAGTGATGGGCCAGGACGCTACGGCAGGGGTGGAAATGAAGCTCATATTCATGACGTGCGCGCAGTCGAGTGCGGTCGACAGCCAGACCGGCCGGCTCAGTCTCTTCCACCTCTTGGAGCAGGTTCAGGCCACCACTTTCCCGACGGCCATGTCCCTCACCCTCGTCGGCATGTTCGCCCGCGAGCCGGGCGAGCCCGATGACCAGTCCGTCCGTTTGAAGGTCGAGTTGGGCGAAACGGCCATATTCGATTCCTCGGTCAATTTCTCCTTCCGAGGCAAGCAGCGCAGCCGGGTCCTGATGGCTATG